ATTTGAACCATAAGTGTCTGGAATTCAGGTTCAACACTCAAACCACTACTCCACATTGGCGTTTCAATATGCTGAGCCTATTTGGGGGGTGAGACCCAGTGTGGTGTAGTGGTTTGAATTTTGGACTATGACTGTGCAGATCAGAGTTTGAATCCCGGCTCAGCTATGTAAACCCTTTGGGTGATCTTGGACATGTTGCATGCTCTCAGCCTCAGAGGACAGCAATGGCAAAGGAAAAACCCTTCCGAAGAAACTTGCCGAGAAAATCCCACGATAGTTTCACCTTCCAGTCACACTAAACCAGAAATGACTTGAAGACACAAACAGCAACAACATTTTGGGGATAGAGAGTTCAGTGTCTTGGACCAGGCTAAAAATCTGGAGCTGATTAATTGACTCACTGACATGGGAGCCTCCAGACGCCACTTTGTAAAATGTCTTTGACTTTTCAAAGGAATAAAAATTGTTCATAGAGCAATGACTTCCTGTTTAGTGGTACTTCAGGGGTGAGCAAATATTCTCCAGGAGCCTTGGAAGACATTTTCACTAGATTTTGTCCCTCCACCAGTCCACAGGGGAGGCCTTTTTAAAAACCAGAAATAAACTAGAAGTTGCTTCCAGTCACTTCCTTTTTAAAAAATAAAAATAAAAGACCTCTCCTGGACCTAAAATGGCCCAGCTGTCCCCTTAAAAATGGTGAAAATGCCCCCTACATCACAGGTGGTGTGTTGCGGAGACATTTGGGGATTGTTCAGCAGGTTCAAAATGTGGTGGCCAGAATGATGTCCGGGACCAGTTATAGGAAGCATATAACTCCCTTGTTGAAAGAGCTTCTCTGGCTACTGGTTCAGTTCTGGGCACCATTGGAAGTGCTGGTCATGACCTATAAAGCCCTATACAACTTAAGTCCAGACTATCTGAAAGACTGTATCTCCCTACACAAACTTGCGAAGGTCCAAAGGCTTTCTCTTGGCTCCGTCACCATCACATTTCTCTTGTGGAAAACATGAGAGAGAGCCTTCTTGGTGGCTGCTCCCACTTTCTGGAACTCTCTTCTACAGGAGACTTCTGTATTTTAAATGTCATTTTATACTGTTTTAATTAGATGGTTTTAATTATTTTATTTTTTTATTGTTAAGTTGTCAACCAGTTTTATCTGTGAGCTACCATAAGTCCCATTTCAGGAGGAAGGTAGCATGTATAAATAAAAAAAAAAAAAAATAGTATTAGTTTTAGTTTTTGGCAGTGGAGAGTGTGGCCCTCCAATGTCTCCTAGGGGGGTAACGTGCCCTCCACAAGCCTCCCACAGTTGCCTAAACTTGCAACACATCCATATAAGCTTGAATTTGTCCTGGCCTTGGAAGTATTGCAAGTATTCGCCTTAATGGCATCCACATGCCCTGCAAGCACTGCAGCCCTCTGGGCATGTCTTTTAAATAAGTATTACAGGGTAGGCAACCTTTCCCCTTTAAGGGCCAAGGGACTTCAGCTCCCAGAAGCCTCAGACATGTTGGCCAATAGTCCCAGTTGGCCAATAGCTCCTGGGATTCTGGGAGCTGAAGTCCCTCGGCCCTTAAAGGGGAAAGGTTGCCTATCCCTGAGTTAGAATGAGAGACCGTCCTCCTGATGTTTGGTTTTACATGGTGATTTCCCTCATTTGAGCTCCATTATAATGAAGAACAAGCCAGGGATTTTTAAAAATGTAAAAATGCAATGCTCAAAGTAGAGGACATTTTGGAATTCCTCCTGGACAGGAGATTGAAATGTAGGACATGTCTTGAGAAAGGAGGACATCAGGTCACCCTGCAGGCAAAGTGGTATCAAATTGTATGAATTTTGCAGTGTAGATGTGGCCTGGGTCTGAAGAACTGGTGCACACAAGGAGGGGAGATTTAAACCTTTCTGAAGCTGTTTGCTTGCTAAAATCTCCCCACATGGAAGTGAACAATAGAGGGGGATCTCCACTGGCATTAAAAAACAAATTTTCTGTATTCCTATCACCTCATCAAGTAAGTAAGATGTCTTGTGCCCAGCCCAGAAAAGAGGCTGGTGATTCCCCCAGAGATGCTGGAGAGTGGAGCTCAAAATGAAAGCTTTGCCCTTGATCTTCTGCCAGCTCTCCAGCCAGGAGCCAGGGTTGCTGCTTAACATTATTGATGCAGCAGGCTTCAGTCTAGAAATTAATCCCAGAATCTGATGAATCAGCTTTTTACTATTACTGTGCCAAAATTCTACCTTCAACTTTACCACCACATTCATAAGAGTTAAAGGGGGAGAGGAGAGAGAATCGGTGTGGTGCAGTGGTTTGCGTACATACCCTCCAACATTTGACAGATCAAGCAACATCAGAGATAGCAAAAGTTATTAATGAGGGAGAACACACAAGCTAGGAGCTTCCTTTTGTCTGAATCTTTTGCAAAGAGCAAAATTCTGCCTCCACCTTCCACTGGCTCACAGCTGAATTAACTGAACATGCATCTACACTGTAGAAATAATGCAGTTTGATACCATTTTAACTGCCATGGCTCCATCCTACAGGATCCTGGAATTAGTTGTACCAGCACTCTTTAGCAAAGAAGGCTAATTATAAAACTACATATCCCAGAATGCCAGGGGATGGAGCTACAGCACATAAAGTGGTGTCAAACTGCATTATTTCTATAGTGTAGATGCACTCCAGGTGCAAACTAATTTTGCACTTTGAAATGAGTTTGCAGCAACTGAAGTAAGTAGAGGGCAAAGGACGAAAGTGGAAGGAGGAGAAAGAAACTGAGACATTTTAAAGGCAGGGATAAATGTGGGAGGATAGAGAATTAATTGGGACTGTCCCAGCCAAATTGTGCCAGTTCAAGAGTATAGTATCAAACTGGACTCTGGAAGACCAGGTTTCAGATCCATACTCAGCCACAGAAATCCACTGGGTGATCTTGGACAAGTCACACTCAGTCTCAAAAGAAGGCAATGGCAAACCTCCTCTGAATAAATCTTGCCACAAAAATCTGCTATAGGGTTCTCATAAATCAGAGTTGACATGAATCCAGTAGTTCTCCCATGCATCCAGTTTCTCCTTTTCCTTTTTCTCTTCCAGAATCTAATGTGCATGTTCAGTCATCCCCTGGCTGTTGTTGGTTGGCATTGTGATTTGTTATGTTGGGCTGTTTTGGCTTGGAAAGCTGCTACATAGCCATGGTGAATAGGTGGATGAGGATGAATGGCTCTGGAGTGAACCAGGAGCAATGCTGCTCATCATTGTGGACAAAAAGAGCTACCAGTAATTCCATCCTGCTTGAGAACCCAGCAAAAACACTTTATTGCATCTAAGAGGAAGGCAAGACTGACAAGGATGGAAATATATCACAAAATTTAAAAATAATATTGTTAATATTACACCCTCCCCTTGCAGGTTTTTGTGCTGCCTGTAAAAATCCATGCTCTTAACTCTTCAAATGCAGTGTCAACTCTCCTTGGAAGATTATTGTTTCAACAGGAGCTCAGGTCTCACATGCACATGTGTGGGGGGTTGCATGTATTTGCTTAGCAGCTGTTCTGAATTAGGGGATAGGTATGTTGATCTTGAGTAGTGGACAGATTTTCTTGTTTCTCTCTTGAACAAATGGCGGCCCGCCAATAAGTGATATTTGTTTGCCAAATTTCAGTACCTTCCTAAATCTTGAGCTGCACAAATCCTCATGCAATGAATGGGTTGAATGCAGTGGATTTTTATGATGGATTCCTCCACTGACAGCATTCAAAGACATAGCCATATTAATCTGGAAAATCAGTACGCAAAGAGATCTTGTGACACCTTTGAGACTAACTGAAAGATAGAAGTTGGTAGCATGAGTTTTCATAGACTTGATCCTACTAGACCAAATGCATTATTATTATTATTAAGTCTATGAAAACTCATGCTACCAATTTCTATCTTTCAGCTAGTCACTACAGGGGTAGGCAACCTTTCCCCTTTAAGGGCCGAGGGACTTCAGCTCCCAGAATCCCAGGAGCTATTGGCCAACATGGGACTATTGGCCAACATGGCTGAGGCTTCTGGTTACTGGGGTCCCTTCCAGCACTATGATCATACAATGGTTCTATGATGTTTCTTCTTTATTAGCACTGCCACCTACAACCTCCCCTCTCGTTCCCATGATGGAGAATGCATTCAGACATCCTTATACTTTGCCAAAGTCATTAGGTTACCCAACTTGTCCTAGGGATGTGAACATTCTTTGTGTCTGCATGTGCCTTTAAGTCGCTTATCGACTTATTGTAACCCCAGGAAAAGGCAAAGGGTGCTCAACCTAAGTATAATGGAGCAGAGGACAG